GTCAGGAAACACACATGTTGGGGCGGCTGTGCTGTTGAATCCTTAGGCCACTGTTTCCTGCCTGGGGCCCACGTCCACAGGGCACAAGGATGCTGACAGCCTCATGGATCAACACTTTACTCAGAAAGATCAGATCACAGATACCCTATACAGCGCACACTTCCACTCACTGCAAGGTCTGGTGCAACTATTCTGGACAGAGGAATTTTCTGGTGTGCCCAGGATTCAGCAGAAAGCCTTCTGGGTTCCTCCAATTTCTCCCTCTCCCCCTACTACCTGCCGCATCTCCCTTATGCCTGCTGTTTGAAAATCTTCCTATAGGGACAGTTTTTATTTAGGTTGGTGGCCTTAGTTTAGCAAATCCTGGGGTCCAGGGATCCAGCCACGATTTGCAAACTGAGAACCATGAGGCCTCAGGGGGAGTGCTTCTCACTACCGGTTGGTAAACTAGAGGTGAACAGGGGAGAGAGATCCGCTGAGTGTGGGCTGAACCTGGGACATTCTTTCCAAGTTGTTTTTTTTAACTACATCCCTGATATGAGCTTGTTTTCTTGCTCTTGGTTTCATTCTTCTAAAAGCTGAGCACAGCAGGAATGAGGGGAAAGAGTTAATTAAGGGCGTCAGTTAGTGGGGCCCTGGGGACTTTGGGTTTGACTGGATTATTATTCCAAGACTCCCTACCTCATGTGGGGTGCTGTGTAGTCCATCCTGGGAGCCACCTGGTGGGACTCATAGTTTCAGTTTTCTAGACAGAGAGGGCTTTCTTTGTGGACTGTGTAGCTGCCTTTTGAAATAATGCAGGTGAGCAAAGCCCTCTTATAAAGCTCATTTAGACACTTTGGATATTCTTCTGGTCCCACATGCTGTTGGTATCCTAGACATACTTCGCCTGCCCCCAACTTTTCTTCCTCCCTCACTACTTTCCTGGCACCTCCAACACATCCACCAACTGCCTTGATTCACTCATTCAGTAAACTTACTCCCTGCCCCACTAGTAAGTGTAGTAAGAACAAACTTGGTCTCTAGGTCAGGAAGATTTAGGCTGGAGTCCCAGCTCTATAATTTATTCACTGCGCCACCACCTTGGGCAAGGTAACCTCTCAGACCCTCTGTTTCTTCATCTGTAAAAATGACAGTAACAGTGCCTACACTGCCAGGTTTGTAACTCAGCCAACACAGCTGAGCCAGAGCCCATAGCCGAAGCTCAGTGTATGGTAGCTGTTATTGTCAGCGGGTCTCAAACTGAGCTTATTTCTAATTGAAGTATAATTAATGTACAGTTACAGTACACGACTTAGTGACTGAGCAACAACAACAATGTACGGTTCAAACACAGCCTCACTAGCAAACTTCACCTCTTTGCTTTCCCCTCCCCGAACTACCTGGAATTTTATGCCTCTCTTTCCATATAAGGGAGTTCCCATTGAAGGAGCCGGTTTTTCTCCTCTCCTATGCCCTGTTTTCCTGGTGGTGTTTTTTTCCTCCTGACCCAGCTTATTTATCTCTCTTTTTTCTTTTCATCATCTCCCTTGGAATCTTGAGGTGGGTAGCAATAGTGAGTTTAAGAAAGATTTACAAGCAAATGAAAGGTCAGCTCAGACCCTTTATGGACCAGGAAGGCTCTATGTGACACAGAGGGCAGATTAAGATATCAGGGAATTCCAATATCGATTAAGCTCCAGATTTAAGAAGGTTTTTTTTTTTTTGCTCAGTTAATGTTCCTGATGATCTATAAACGCAGTTTGCACTTTGTCCCATCTACTACATGCAGCTTAGTGTGAACACCTTGTTCAGAGAGTTTGTGACCTGAGGATAACCTGATATCCTGAGATTGGGATTGTCTGCCAGCCAAACTGGGGTGAAGAAAATCACCATCTGGGGCTAGTGCAGTAGGTTTGCTTGGGTAGACATGTTTGTCAGTCATTTGCAAATAGAATGATCTTTGTCCATGTATTACCACCGGTGGGGTCCAATGGAGGGCTTCCCAGGTGGTACTAGTGGTAAAGAACCCACAGTGTAGGAGACATAAGAGATGCAGTTTTGATCCATGGGTCGGGAAGATCCTCTGGAGAAGAAAATTGCAACTCACTCCAGTATTCTTTCCTGGAAAATTCCATGGACAGAGGAGCGTGGCAGGCTACAGCCCACGGGGTTGCAAAGAGTGGGACATGACTGAAGCAACTTAGCACACACACAGAATCCATTGGGAGCTTCACATCATGCTAAAAAATGTTGGCTGTTCGGTGGCATAACTGCATTGGCAGCCTAGAGAAAATTAAGGCCTTCAGACTAGGCTTAACTAGGGCCTTGGCCAGGATGTCCGTGCCAGGCACCTGGTTAGGTGAAATATCCTGAAGCAAATAATAATAACCTTTGCTGATAAGAAGCCCCCAGTACTTTTCCAATAGCATGATTGCACTAAGATATTTATTTGGACCATAGCCTGAATCACAAACTGATTCATGGGTACTGGCCCTAACTTCATCAAAACTATTGTATATGTGGTGGAACCTGATGTTCTCCTTATGGTCCTGAGTTTGTGTAATAATACTCTCAGTTGCGTCACCTGTCCTTGTTTCTCTAGATGGCTCCATCTGGCTGCAGTTCTCCTTCTGTCCACTAGGTGGCCTCACTTAGGAAAGAGCAGGATAAAAGGACTTCAAGCCTCTGATGGTTTGGTTTGTTGTTGTTTTTTAAGATTGAGGCTAGAAAGAATGAAAATATATTTTGATGGAAACGTGTAATTTTTAGTAGGCAACAATCACCTCATCCTCCTTGTGACTTGGAATCTGTGAAGTACCCTGTAACCCTGTATATGACTGGACCCCATCATAGGGCAGATATTTTCCTGGGATGGTTTATATATAGCCTTGATTCATAATTTTGTTGTCGTTCACTGTTTCTAGGAAAGTAACAAAATCTTGTCTTTAAAAATAAGGACATGAGGGACTTCCCCGGTGGTCCAGTGGTTAAGACTCTGTGCTTTCAATGCAGGGGGAGTGCGTTCGATCCCTGATCAGGGAACTCTAAGATCCCACCTGTTGCATGGCATTACCAAAAAATTTAAAAAGTATTTTCTGGCATCTTGTGGTCACTGCAGTGCCCACTCCCCTATTGGCTCCTCCCCATCCCCTCTGTCACCTGCCTGGCCCCCAGCTGCTCCCTTGTGCATGTTCCCCAATTCATCTGAGTTCCTAAACACTTACAGTGTCCTCCATACAAACACACTGGCACATACAGATTGGCTAGTCTGTGCATGCCACAGAACTGTGCATGTGTCAGTACATGGACAGGTACATCTGAGGATAAGGTGAGTGGATAGGTACTGGGGATAGGGGCAAGCCAGTGGGCAAGCTGGCTGGGTGAGGGGACCTGCAGGTGACAAAGTCTGTGTGCAGGAGAGAGGCCAAGAAGGCAGGTGGCAGGAAGGAGTGAAGGTACTGGTGGTGAGGGTAGGTATCCAGGGCGGCAGCCTGTGATCGCATGGCAAAGACAGGCGAGTGTGCTGGCTGACATCTGAGGAAGAGCTTTTATTTATTTATTTTTTCATTTATTTTTATTAGTTGGAGGCTAATTACTTTACAATATTGTAGTGGTTTTTGTCATACATTGACATGAATTAGCCATGAGGAAGAGCTTTTAAAACCAGTGCCGCCCTCTACCAAAGCTTCCTAGCTCCTATAATGGCATTTGTACTTCTCATTTCTCTAAGAAAGCTCCAGTTTGGTTTTTACCAATCTCCAGAGCCCTCTTTGGAGATGCCAGTTGGCACAATGAAGTGCTGAACGGTTTACAGTCCCAGCCTAAGGTTCAGGGAGGGGATGTGGTTTAACTGGGCCACAAAGCCTGGTACAGGACTCATTTGCATGGCCCCTGACGCCATGTGACGCAGCCGGCTCCTCCTATATAAAGAAGAAGGAGCCGAAATATCTCCGAGTCTGGGTTGGACCGGCGGCCGTGGAGTTTGTGACACACTAGGTGACACCCCTCGAGTCACTTCCTTTCAACTCTGGAACGCCCACCCGGCTTTGGGTCCTCTTGGCAGCCTTCGCCCCCCTTCTAGCCCCAGGGCCCAACGCGCAGAGCCCAGCCCCACGCAGCGCGCCAGCCACCGGCGGCCGCCCAGCCTGCCCAGCCCAGTCCAGCCCGCAGCCCGGCCAGAGCTCCCCGGCAGCCCGAGCCATGAACACCGAAATGTATCAGACCCCCATGGAGGTGGCGGTCTATCAGCTGCACAATTTCAACATCTCCTTCTTCTCTTCCCTGCTTGGAGGGGATGTGGTTTCCGTTAAGCTGGATAACAGGTAACGGCTGGCCACAGCTCCCGAGCCCGGGCGCCGGCGGCGGGGGCTGGGCTGCAAGCGGGATCTCCGAGCGAACCGTGTGCTGGCGGCCCCCGTTCCCCGCGGTGCAGCATCCTGGGAAGGGGCGGAGGTAGGGGACGCGGGGAGGGGGGGGGGCGGTCACCGCCGCGCTGGGATCCGCCGTCGGAGCGTCCCTGCGGCCGCTGCGCCATAAGAACGAGCTGCCACAGCCAGAGGCAGAGGCGGCAGGGCTGGGCGGGAGGCTTGGCGCGCGCCGTGCGCCGTTGGGGAGCAGGCCAGAAGCTTCTGAGCAGAGGAGGAATTCCTAGCTAGCTGCAGATCTCGGTAGGTTTGCCTTGGACCTTGTGGGCCGGCGCCGTAATGGGCCGGCAGCAGGCGACTTGCTGGGCCGCGCGTCCCCATTGTTTGCACGTCGCCGAGCAGGCCACGCTGGCCCGTGCACCCCCGGACCTGCGCGCCGCTCCCCGCGGAGCTCCAGACAGCAGTGGCCAGCAGCCGGCCTGGGTGGGGAGGTGCGCTTCCTGCAGGGGCCAGAGAGGGACCTGAAACTCCCAGCCAGGGCTGCGGTAGAAAGGAAGAGCTGGGGCAGAGGGAGGACCTTGTGGCCACCACTACCAGGTACTTAAGACTGTAACCAAGTGGGTAACGTGGTCGCTTTCCTTTTTGTCTTGACAGTGCCTCCGGAGCCAGTGTGGTGGCCATAGACAATAAGATTGAGCAGGCCATGGTGAGTGGCATCACTGCGTCATTGTCGTTCCCAGACCTGGCTTCTGCTTATGTAACTCAGGGTAGTGGTGAGGGGGTGGGTGCAAAAGCCAAGAGCCTGGGGAAGCTGACAGCTTGTCTCCTCTCCCCTTAGAGGCCTTAAGTAGAGTCCCATAGAAATGGCATTTCCAATCCACACTTGCTGGGCCCTCTCCTTTCCTCCTCCTCCTTCTTTTACAATCCCAGGGCTTTGCAGCCGTGTCTGGCTCCCTCCTGGGCCCATGGCAGGGCAGGGAGCTCAGACACCTGCATTTGTCTACATCCCACACTTGGCAGGGGCCAGAGCTCATTGGATGTAAGCGCACTGCAGTGCCTCTGCAGAGCCTGGGCTGGGGTCAGGAGTTGGGAGGAGACAGGAGGCAAAGCACCGCCCCCCCACAATCCCTTCTCCCTTTGCTTACCACTTTGCTTACCAAAGTGAGTATGAGGTCATACTCACCAAGCAGCCAGTGGCTGCAGGGCTTTGGGGCATCAAGCAGTTAGCAACCACTTCATTGTGCCCTGGAGCCTAAGGACACTGTTCTCTGCCTCCAGTGCAGTCATCCGAATTCAGAGAGGATGCGGCCATGCCGGTAGCTTCCCCCAGGGCCAGTGTCCTGTCTGGCCAGGCTGCAGAGCAGCTGCAGCTCAGTATGCTGGCTTATGAGGAGTGGGAGAGGCTCCAAAATAGCCCATTTTCTTCTCTTGGCGAAGATGTGTCAAGCAGACTGACAGTAGGGGGTGCATTGCAGGTGTTCCCTGGGATCAGGGCCAGCAGCAGGACCTTATGTGGAAATGGAGATAGAGTGAACCACCACCAGTCACACCCAAAAGGCTCCCAAGAGGCCAGCTTTGAAAGTTATTAGAAACTTATGGGGGGAGAATCCTATGTAGTTCAAAGCTGGGCTCCCAACTCAGGCGTGGCCCCGATCCCACGGCTCTTCTGAGCGTGGCTTTAGGTGCTTGGGAGAATGGGGCAGGAGGAGCAGGGCCACACAGGGCCAGCATGCTGAGGGAAGTATGGTGGTCAGTGATGTGAGAGACAGCAGGCACCCCAATGGCCAGGGCGCAGTGCTGCAGAGGGGCCGCCATGGCTAACGGATGCTTCTGTCATCATCTCCTCCGGGACAGGATCTAGTGAAGAATCATCTGATGTATGCTGTGAGAGAGGAGGTGGAGATCCTGAAGGAGCAGATCCGGGAGCTGGTGGAGAAGAACTCCCAGCTGGAGCGGGAGAATACTCTCTTGAAGACCCTGGCGAGCCCAGAGCAGCTGGAGAAGTTCCAGTCCCGTCTGAGCCCCGAGGAGCCAGCTCCTGAAACCCCAGAAACCCCCGAGGCCCCCGGTGGTTCTGCGGTGTAAGTGGCTCTGTCCTCAGGGTGGGCAGAGCCACTAAACTTGTTCTACCTAGTTCTTTCCAGTTTGTTTTTTGGCTCCCCAAGCGTCATCTCACGTGGAGAACTTTACACCTAGCATAACTGGTGCCAAGAGATGTCCCAAGGACATGGCCACCTGGGTCCACTCCAGTGACAGACCCCTGACAAAGAGTAGGTCTCTAGAGGCTGAGTTGCATGGGGCCTCATCACCCCAAGCCAGTGAGCCTCTAATGCTGCTGCGCCCTGTGGGCTCCCAGGGCCTGAGCAATTTAACTGCAACTGGCAAAGGAGAAAGGTAGTTTGAGACGGGCCGCCCATTTGCTCCAGAAAGTCTAAGGGGTCTGTTGTTTTCATTTCCATGGACATCTTCAACAGCTTCAACCTGACAACAACTGTCCTATGAAGAAACCAATTGTGGTTTAAGCAGAGGCAACCTCTCTCTCCTCCATTGCCTCACCAGGACAGGGCCAGAGTTGGGAGAGATTGAGCCAAGTCAGCCTTCTGTTGGTGAATATGATGTAATGCATGGCTTTGTGCACAGCCCAGTGTGCGATTATGGCTTTGGGATGACCGCTTACAAAGTTCTGTTTGGTTAATATTGGCATAGTTTTTTCTATATAGCCATACATGCATATATATACCCATAGGGCTAGAGCTGTAACTTAGTGTAGTGATGTATACATATACACATACACCTATGTGTTGAAGGGCCTAACCAGCTTTGGAAGTATTGAGTGGTCCCTTATCTCTTAAGGCTAATTCTTAGATTTGTTCATTTACTAAGTGGATCCAGTTTGTCCTTTAGGTTAAGTAAAACTGAAGAGTAAAGGCAGGGAGGGGGCCAGCCTCTAAATGCCTTGCTGCTGCAACCTTTGCCCCATATGTCCCCTGAATACATGTGAGGTCCCCTTCTGAATGCCAAACCCACCATTCACTGGTGCTGACTACATAGAATGGGGTTGAGAGATCAGCTGGGACTTTGTCATCTGAAAACTTTGTTTTGTTTTAATGGTTGTGGAAAACTTTCAAGTGCAGAGAATGATTAGCTTGCCGGTGTCCTCTCATGGACAAGGGAATGACTCTGACCTGATGATGCCTGGGTGATGTGCTCAGGGAGCTTGTCTCTAGGGAGTTCTGTGGCAGTGAACACTTCCCACTTTCTAACACCTTATCCTGATGTTATGTCTCCAGGATTTGGATTTGGATTTTTCAAATGTAGCTTGAAATTTCAATAAATGTTGCTCTTTTTTTTTTTTCTAAAAATAAACCTGGTGTCCGCCTGAGTTTAAAACAGAGTGGGTGGTAGAGGCCCTAATGGTGGTTGGGGGCATTGTTTTTCTGACTCATCTGTTCATGGGCACCACCTGAGTGACAGGCCTGTGCTACAGCCATGATCTTGCATAACTGTCACAACACCCCCATTGTATGGGTGAGGAAGCTGAGACTCAGCCCGCTGAAGTGACTTGCCGAAAGTCACACAGCTATTATGGCAAATTGGGACCCAACCTTCCATCCATCCCGCTCTCCCACTCCTGCTTTCATATGGCAGCTTGGGAGTGAGTGGTGAAGTGACTACTAATGTACAACTTCAGCTTGAGGGGTGATTTGGAAGGAAAGGTATCCCAAGAAAGGCCCCAAAAGAAAATGGCAGGGGGTCCACGTGAGGGAGCAAGAACAGGGGAACCAAATAAACACAAATGGGCCACTCCCCTTCTGAAACATCATCCAGATCACTTAGTACATTTACCTTAATACCACCCACAGGAGACCACTGACACTGAAAAAGGAGCTAAGAGGGCCTCAGTGAGAAAAGGACACACAGTATATACGATGGCCCAAACCCCATCCCACTCCCTCAAGGGGAGATGCTCTCAAGCTCTGCTGCTCCACTTGTTACTGCTGAGATTTTGCTCACAAAACCCAGCAGCCCCTTGGGCACGGCCAAGTCTAAGTATCCCAACTCCACTTCCGTCCTCTCTCTCCTTGAAGGCATCCTTACTTACCCACCACCCTTTCTTGGGCCCCATGTCTCTGGCATCTGGGGTCCAGCCATTTCTCTGATTCTGGGCATTCACTGTCTCCTCCACTATGTCCTTACCTGGAGCCACCACGGGCCCTTAGCTGTGGTCTAAGCCCCCCAGTTTCCCAAGGGAGGGAATCACTCCTGTGTGAGTGACTCCATTCCATCTCAGCTTCCTGTAGCCTATGTACCTACCTCACTTGAAATTTAAAGGAACTCCTTGACTTTCCTGAGCCATAAACCTCAAGGGCCAAGAGGTCTTGGCTCCCTTACTTGCACCTATCACTGCCCAAATGTATTTCAAATGGCAGGCTTCTTTCACTTAAAGGTCACACATGTAGGCCTGTTCATTTCGAATCACTAAACCTCTTCTTCACAACCTTACTCTACTTGCTGGTCTCTCAAATCCCAACTTCCCTTCCTGCTCCTCACCTCTCAACTCATGATGCCAAGTTCATTGTCTACACCTGCCCATCTGATCCATTTCCTGGCTGTGCAGACTTAACAGTTGGTGGAATGGGCACAAACTTTGTATCAGGCAGCTACTCCCCCAGTTCCCCTCACCCCTCCACCCAACCTGGCTCTCCCCAGTTCCCACTTACTCCCATCCCCTCCCCCTCTCATGAACTGAGGGACTTTTCCACTCTTAGGCTCATCTGCAGACTTCCCATACCCTGATTTCCAGCCAAATAAGAACCAACAGATGAAAAAAGGAAACTCAGAAGATGGCCCAGCAAACATACAGCCCTCTCTGGTCATCCAGCCCTTCCCTACGAGAAAGGGGAAAAACATACCCACAGTCACACAGTGGGAAAGAGAGAACAAGCACGTTGCCCAGGCAACCATGACTAAACAGAGACAAACACTGCACCTTCTGAGGCCACAGCAGTTGCTAGACTAGATAAGAGGAACTTTGTGGCTGTTTGTTAGTCACATAAAGGCGCAGCTCTTGTTGTTTTTATTCCACAGAAAACCAGCAGGGGTGGGGAAAGGCAAAAGAACACATGACTCCTGGAAAGACCTTCACAGCTTGGGGCTTCTGGGCCTAGCTGGTCAGGCTGGACCCAGTACAAGGAAAAGAACCACAAGTACCAAAGCTGTATGTTCCCCTGCCTGGACATGCCCCCTCTCCCAGGACCCTCCTACGACTATCTCATTTGATCCTCATGCAGCCTGCCACCCCCCACCCCCACCCCCCGCCACATCCATGTTTTCTGCCCTTACAAAAACAGACACTTGTGGTTCACCTCCATTTCACAGATAAGAAAACTGAGAACCAGAGAGTTCGGTGCTACTCCCATGGCTCCCACTGATCCCATGGGGCCTTTATGACATAAAGGGCACCTTTTAAATGTCAAAACTCTTCCCCAATCTATCCCAACCCAAAAGTAGTTGAACTCTTACAGTCATACCTCACTTTATTGCACTTTGCAGATACTCCTTTTTTTTTTTTTTAAACAAATTAGAGGTTTCTGGCCACCCTGCATCAAACAAATCTATCAGCACCATTTTTCCAACAGTGTTTGCTCACTTTGTGTCCTTGTATCACATTTTGGTAATTCTCACGATGTTTTCAACTTTTTCGCTACTGTTATATTTTTATGGTGATCTGTGATCTTTGATGTTACTATGACTTGCTGGAGGCTCAGATGATGCTTAGCATTTTTCAGTGATAAAGTATTTTTTAATTATGGTATGTACATTGTTTTTTAAGCCCTAATGCTACTGCACACTTAATAGACTACAGTATACTGTAAACATACATTTGATATGCACTGGGAAACTAAAAAATTCACATGACTTGCTTTATTATGATGTTCGCTTTATGGCCATAGTCTGGAACTGAACACATGGTGTCTGGGTATTATTCACTGATACAGAGAAAGAGAACATGTAATGACAAGCAGTGACTGTAAATTCAGTGGGGCTTTTAAAGGATCTTACTGTATTTGCCACACAAGCATAGAGGTGGATTTGAAAAGTAGAACAGAAATGTGGGTGGTAGATTATTTACAGACTAAGACTGCAGGAGTGCAAGGCACAGGGCTCTCAGACTGGGAACCACTACAGAAGAAAGTGCTTCTGGTGAGGCTCCAAAGAAAGAACCCACAGAGCGAGATGAGGAAACAGGGCCACTGGGACCTGAGGAATAGGAAGGAGTCTAGAAAGACCATAGGAAATAAACTGCACATTCTCTTTAGGGTATTTTGAAGTATCCTAACATCATCCTACTTACCCTGGAAAAATCTTGATTTCAAATCTCACCTCCTCTCCTCCTAGTTGGCTAGAAATTAATGGATGCTTTATAGGCAGCCCAGTTCCTCAGGTTGTCTCATGCAGAGCTGCTTATTGGAACCTAAATACTTAGCAATTAACCACCTCTGCCAGATCGGCAAGGTCTGAAAGAGAACTCAACCAGTTAGCTATTCCAAACAGAAGTGGTTTCCGGGGAAGAGCTTGCTGGAAGGTGCCATAATAACAATGATTAGGTAATAACAGCTAACACTTAACATGGCACTTACTTCATGTCAGACAACATTCTAGGTCCCTTTGACACCTAGTGCTTCTTTTCATCGTCTCTGCAAACCTATGAGGACGTACCATTAAGATCTCCATTTTACAGATGAGAAAATAAGAACACTAAGGCTCAGAGAGGTGAAGCAACTTGTGTGAAGTGAATGGCTAAGCCACGACGGGGGGAGGGGAGATGGATGTGCTGAGAAACGGACTGGAGAGTCTCAACAGTTTTCATAATTCCACCTAAGTCACAAGAGGTGTTCTGAGCATGGGGCGATGGGGGGGGGCGTAGGAAGAAGATCACCCCCAACTAGCAGAAGGGCTAACATAACATTAAAAGTGACCAATGAAGCTGAAGCTGGCTGGCTGGAGTGACTAGGAAAGGAGGGGAGAGGAAGAATGGAAGGCTGAGTTGGCTGGTTCCCAGCTGGT